CGGAGTAAAACTCCAACTCAAAAAAAAAAAAATATTGACTATAGCCGGGCGCAATGGCTCATGCCTGTCATCCCGGCACTTTGAGAGGCTGAGGTGAGAGGATTCCCTGAGCCCATGGGTTTGAGATTAGTCTGGGCAACTTGGCGAGAACTCATCTCTACGATAAATCAAAAAATTAGTTGGGTGTGGTGTTGTGTGCCTGTAGTTCCAGTTACTTGGAAGGCTGAAGCAGAAGGATCGCCTAAGCCCAGCAGGTCGAGGCTGCAGTGGTTGTGAGAGTGCCACTGCCCTCCAGCCTGGTTGACAGAGTGAGACTCCAACTTAAAAAAAAAAAAAGACTAAATAAAATATGACTATTGAAGCGATAATACTTTGGATATATTGTGTTAAATAAAAATGTATTGTTATAATTAGTTTTGACCGGGTGCGGTGACTCATTCCAGCACTTTGAGAGGCTGAGGTGGGAGGATCACTTGAGGCCAGGAGTTCAAGACCAACCTGGGCAATGTAGTGAGACCCCCATCTCTACAAAAAATAAAAAAATAAAAAAAAAATGAACCTGATGTGACAGTAGTAGTCCCAGCTACTCGGGAGGGTGAGGCAGGAGGATCGCCTGAGCCCAGCAGGTTGAAGCTGCAGTGACCGGGAGCGTGCCACTGCCCTCCAGCCTGGGTGACAGAATGAGACTCCAACTCCAAAAAAAAAAAGAAGTCCGGGCTCGGTGGCTCAGCCTGTAATCCCTGCGCTTTGGGAGGCCGAGGTGAGTGGATTGCCTGAGCCTGAGGATTCGAGATCCGCCTGGGCAACTTGGCGAGACCTCATCTCGACCATAAATCAAAAACTAGCCGGGCATGGTAGCGCACACCTGTAGTTCCAGCTACTTGGAAGGCTGAGGCGGAAGGATCGGCGGAGCCCAGCAGGTCAAGGCTGCGGTGGCCGGGAGTGGCCACTGCACTCCAGTCTGGGTGACAGAGTGAGACTCCAACTCAAAAAAAAAAAAAAAAGAACACTCTCATAGGTATTTCTGGCCACCGTGGAGGGAGCTGCAATAATTATTTCCATCTGGATTTAAATCCCAGCCCTCCCACTTGCTGGCTTGTCATCTCACTCGAGTCTCAGTTTTCTCATCTGTGAAATAGGGGCGAATCACGGCATCCACTTCCCTGGTTGTTGTGAGGTTTAAGCAAGATAATACACCGAAAAGGTCAGGCACATAGAAAGCGCTCCATCCTTCCAGCCCATGGTTTCAGGGGAGGCATTTACAGCCTCTGGTGCCCAGTGTGACCCTTGAGTTCAGCAAAGGCATCAGCTCTGAGTGTGGCTTTCCCTGGAAACAGACCCCGAGACTGAAATTCAGATGCTGAGACGAAGGTGTTCATTTGAAAGGTTATCCCAGAGGCCACTCCTAGAGGTGTGAGGGACTGAGACAGTGAGTCTTGACCACCTTGGACAATGGCAGCCGGCTGGGCCATCAGGCATCTCTGGGAGCCAGGACTTCCGAGTTGTCCCCGCCCAGGCCTGAGGGAGCTGGGGTCTTTATCCTCCAGTAGCCGTGGGGGCAGGGCTGTGCTGGGTGGGGCTGGGGAGCGCCCAGCACTCCTGGTCTCTTGCCCTGCAGGTACAGAAAGCCTCAAGCAAACAGTTGCAGGTGCTGCAGGGAGTCGGGCTGGCATGCAGTGTGCGCAGTCCTCGCTTCGGCAAAAGAGGAACGGTTAATCCTAGCTAAGGCAGAAGGGAAGCCTTCATGGAAGAGGTGGCCTTGGAGCTCCCCGTCGAAGGGTGGGCTGGAGTTTGACAAGCAGCGGTGGGAGGACATTCCTGGCAGGACGCTGAACACAGCCCAGCCAGGGGCGTGTGGAAGTTCAGAGGGTCATGGGCAGGGCACACAGTGCCAA